ATTTGATCGTCGGTAATTTGACTCGACTTCCGCCGCCGATGATTCCTTCAGTGGTGCCCTCGGACAGTCGTTGCAGTATCTCCGTTTGGGTCCTCAGTAGGGCCCCTAGAGGGCGTTCTTCCTGTTCTCGTGCCGAGTCGCCGGAAGTCGCTTGTGCTTGCGAAGCGCCGCCCGTCTCGTAGCCTTGCATCATCGTCATATGCCGTTGTAGTAATTGCGCGAGAATACTGTCGCCTTCCGTGGTTTTGGCACTTGCACTTTCGTCGTTTATGATGCGTCGTAACACTGTCTTTGCAGCCACGCTTCTTTCTTCGAATTCAGCTTCGGCTGTAATGTCCGTCTCTGTCGGCTCGTCCGTCTCGTTGATGACTTGCCGCTGGATCTCTTGAAACTCGCTGATGATCTGTTCGAGCTGCTCCAGTCGAACCTCCGCGTCCTCTTTGTCGAGCGTAGCCGCGTGATCCTGGATTCGTTGCTCTAACCTTGTTAGTTTGCCCTTGACGTAGCCTCGTTGCTTCCTCAATTTGCCGATGTCGGCCATGTTGTCGCGTGTACGTCGCTCGTGAACGTTTTCCTAGGCTGATTCTAACGTTTCAACACTAGTTCCTCACAGAGATGTGCTCTGTATATCCGGCTCGAAGGACCAAAATTATGTTTGTCTTGTTTCATACAATTTTATTGCAAACTTGTAACGTTAACACTTGAAAATATAAGGGAGAGATCGACACGCACGCACGCCGGAATCGACTCTCTTACAACTGAACTGACCGCCGATCGTGCTGAAACAATAAGATAGAGTGCGCATGCGCGAACGCGTAGGGTTACATAGAGACGCAAGGACAATACGCGCAAACGCGCCGATCGCTCGAACAGGCTATTAGCATTAAACTTCTTTACATATCAATATAAAATCAGACATACCGCCCACCAAGATTAATCATAATCTTTCTCCGTATCAGTGACAGACAATTTACACACCTTGGTAATCGCACGCTTAGTCACGCTGTTAGCAGTTTTAACCGACACGGCTCTAACCAATTTATCCTGACCGTAATGTAGTTCTAAAACCCGACCTAGTTTCCACTGATAAGGAGGAGAATGGGCTTCTTGTAGAAGAACTAAATCTCCGACCTGAAGGTTGCGTTGAGGTTTCTGCCATTTAGAACGTCCTTGTAATGAACTGACATATTCTGCCGCCCACCGTTTCCAAAAGTTTTGAAAGACCCGTTGAACTAATTGCCAACGGTTCAAACGATGAATGTTTATCTCTTGAACATTTGTGTCAGGGAGAGCTGTAAGTGGTCCTTCAGTCAAAAAATGTCCTGGAGTAAGCGGCTCCAAATCAGAAGGGTCACTGGAAAGCGCGTATAAAGGTCTCGAATTGAGACAAGCTTCGACTTGAATAAGCGCCGTACCGAGCTCTTCAAATGTAAATAGGGAATTGCCCATCACCGTGCGTAACAGGTTTTTGCAAGATCTCACTCCTGCTTCCCAAAGTCCACCCCAATGAGGGGAGTAGGGAGGAATAAAAATCCATTGAATTCCTTCCACTGCCAACTTGTTCTGTAGTGATTCCTTGATTTGACGTTGAAGAAATGAATACATTTCGCCGATTTCGCGCTGTGCTCCCTTGAAATTAGTAGCATTGTCACTATATATTTTTTGGGGACAACCTCTTCGACCGATGAAGCGTCTTAAAGCTGCCAAAAATGCCTCGGTGCTCAGATCACTTACGGCTTCCAAGTGAAGAGCCTTCGTCGAAAAACAAACGAATAAGGCAATGTAGCTCTTGATAGTTTTGCGACCTCTGCCCTTGTTCAATAGCGTAGTAATAGGACCTGCGAAATCCACGCCACAATTATAAAATGGCCGCATAGGGGTGACTCGATCAGCCGGCAAATCACCCATCAACTGTAGAGCTGCCTGAGGCTTCCTGCGTGAACACCACACACAAGATCGATAAACCTTACGAACGACGTCCTTGCCGCGTAGAGGCCAGTATTCTTGTCGAATTGCAGACAAGAGAGCCTGAGGACCAGCATGTAGGAGTCGCTCGTTCAGCCAATAGTCTGGTGAATGTGTGCTTTGAAGGCAATAATATAGGGTGCCTTTGTGAGAAGGATAGCGGTGCATGGCGCAGTCGACCTCCCACTCTCAACAATCCTTTATCGTCCAGAAAGGGATGTAAGCTTAGTAACTTACTAGATGATTTTAGAAATTTAGAATGGCGTAGCATAGAAATCTCTTCCTTGAAGGCTTCCGCTTGTGCGTTCTTAATCAAGTATGACCTCGCTATCGTAATCTCGGCTGCTGCCAATGGACCACCTTGTTTTTCAGTACTACGTTTACAATTAGCGATAAAACGTAAGCAGTATGCTAACACTCGTTCCAACTTGGACAAAACAGATATCCTAGAATATAAGTTTTGGAAAATTGATTCTTGTGAGGTAAGGTGATGACATGATGTCTTGACCTTTCGTTCTTCGTCCTTGATTTCCCTGGTTTCTAGATAATGCGTATCATCGAAGCTCTCTGGAGGTTGAAAATTCATCGAATTGCTTGATATCCAGGGAGGGCCCTCCCACCACAACTTACAATTTTGAAGTACGTTGGGGAATGCGCCTCTAGACAGCAAATCCGCGGGATTATCCTCACTTCGTACGTGTGCCCATGATTCTGCCGATAAAATACGAGTAATTTCTGAGATCCTGTTTGCGACGAAGGGTTTCCAACGAGATAAGTCGCCCTTTATCCAATATAGTGTGACCATGGAGTCCGTAAATGCGAATATCTTGCAGGACTGAAATTTACAAGCTTGAGTCACTTGCTCGATTAAACGTGCCAAAAGTAATGCGCTGCATAGTTCCAATTGCGGGATTGAGACAATCTTGAGTGGTGCGACACGAGACTTAGAACATAATAAACGGGCTACCTGTTCTCCTTTATTTCGAACCTTGACGTAGATGCATGCTCCATAGGCATCTTGAGATGCATCGCAGAATCCGTACAGCATTAGATCGTTGGAAATATACTCGTCAGAGATCTTGCGTGGAATGCGTAGTATCGTGGAGTTTAGCAATTCGCTTTGTAGCTGCTCCCATCTCTTAGTAATGTTGGCTGGCAATTCAGAGTCCCAGTCAACTTGTTCCTTCCAGGTTTCTTGCATCAGCATTTTGGCTAATGTTATTATTGGACCTAACAATCCTAAAGGATCGAACAATTTACTGATTTCGGATAATAGTTCTCTTTTGGAACGGACTCGCTCGCGAAATCCTAATGTAAATACAAAAACGTCGCTGTTGGGTTCCCAGATTAGCCCCAAAGTTCTAATAGTATCGTTAATTTTTAGATTTACGCCCGATGATTGACTTATTTCTTTTGTGTCTTGTACAATTTCGCTCGAGTTAGAATGCCATTTGTGCACTTTAAAATGTCCCTTGCTCATTAGTTCCGTTATTTGCTTCTGCAATTCCTTAGCTTCGTTTACATCTCGCGCTCCGCTAATAATATCGTCAACGTACATGTCGTTCAATACGCACTTAGATGCTAATGGAAGGGTATTCTTGCCCTCCTCCGCTAATTGCCGTACGCTTCTTATTGCTAAAAAAGACGCGCTAGCCTGACCGTATGTAACGGTGTTTAACCTATATTCTTGCACCGGATCACTCAATAAAAATCGCTATAAGATTCTTTGATAGTCTCGATCGGACTCGCGTATTAATATTTGGCGATACATTTTCTCCAAATCACCCGTAATAGCAATGTTATGAAATCTAAATCTTAATAGAATCTGTATTAAATTGTCTTGTAATGTTGGACCGATCATTAAAACATCATTTAGTGATATGCCTGTACTGCTCTTACTTGAAGCATCGAAAACAACCCGTAATTTGGTTGTTGAACTTGTCTCCTTTACTACGCCGTGATGCGGCAAGTAAATAATGCGTTTGTTATTCTTGACGTTATGAGACTCTATCGGAGCCATATGTTGCAAAT